TAGCCCAATCATCCGGGACTAAAATTCCCCACCTTCTTCACCAACAGCAGCACATGCGACAACTGTCGCTTGCGGTAACCGAGTGCCACATCAAGGTCCACCGCCGCCTTCCCGTTGACGTCCACGGAGTAGAAGCGGTATGACTTCCTGGCGATTTCCGGGTCAAATGCTCGTGTCGTGGTGGAAGAACATGTCATGCTCCCGCCGGCTCTCCCAACACATGATGCTCTCCCCTCACACAATCTCTCTACATGCCAGTTCCGCTGCCATGTCTGTCGCTGTCAAACTCTCACAGTTGCAACAGGAGACGCACTACAGCGGAATGCTCCCATACCGTAAGAACGCGTGGGAGGACGTCGTTTTATAGCGCAGATCCAGCGGAACAGGCACGCAGCAGCGCCCCTGGTCGTGCACTGCGGCTTTTCATTTTCTCATTCTTTTTTTATTTTCCCTATTTTATTATTTTTTCCTACTTTCGCAGGTGGATCGGAACTGGAAGCCACGCTGGCCAGGGTCGTTCACTACGTTGTCGACGGGTCCATATCATGGCTGTCGTCCGCTCCCCGACCACTCTCTGCACCTCTCGCCGCCATACCCCCAGCGATAATTTCCAACACGGCATTGCCCTGCCGCATCACCCCGGCGACGGCCCCGATCTTCGTGGCAACCATCCTCGATCCATCTGTTGACGCACGAGCCAATGTGCCGACAGCCCCATCCAAACCCTCACACAAGGCCCTCATTCAAGTTGACTCCTCCATCACCGATGTGGTGCCGCATATCGACGCCGGACCGGGCTTTCCCGCTTGAGGTACGGCGTGTCTTGGTGGCGGTGTCTGAAGCATCCGTTTCAGTACCCTCCGATTATGCCTCGCCGCCACTCGGTGATCCACCCCCTCTCAAATCTTCCGAGGCCAGTGTGTCGTCACATGTCATAGACTTCTTCAACCGATACCACTCCATAGTGTCCCACAACTGCCTCTTGAACGTCAAGCTCACTCCTAGCTTCCTCCGTTGTTTTGTAGTGGTATCCCAGTACGCTTGTTTCCTGGACCCTTCGCATGTGTCCCGGATCTCCCTCACGTTCTTCACCAGCTTTGCCCATTTCTTCATGCAGTCTTTCGTTGTCCTGGAGTAACTGATTTCTCCAAGCCTTCCTGCATCCCACTCCCATCTTTTCGACCTCGTCAATTACGCCTGGGCACCTTCGGCATCAACCATAAGGGCTTCGTCCACGCCGATGAACTTTGCGAGGTCCAATCTCTCCTCCAAAGACCAGGGGTTGTTCTTCTTCGCCGGTTGTAGTGAGTTGTCCCCCTTCCTTTTCTTGCCACCCGCGGCACGCACTTTGCTCCAATTAGTGACTCCTTCATAAGACTTGTGTGGCACGGAGGGAGTCGTTCGATCATCGTCGTCCTTGTCCGATGTCTCCCCACGGTTTCCCATCCCCGGACCCTCGAGACTGGCCTCCCCTGTCTCGCCGGCCATGTTCCCCAGAAACCCGCCTGTGGCCTCACTCTTGCCTTCTTCCCGCCACTGGCGATATCCGCTGGTGTTCGATGCGAAGAAAAGGTCAGGTGAAGAGTTATCCCGCCCCCTCGCCTGCACCTCAACCGACATTCTCCTTTGGGGGACTTCTGTGTTTCTCGGCGCTTGTGCAGCTCCACAGCCCAACGCCATACCGATTGCAGGTGACGTGCCTTGACGCACTTCCCCCCCCCCCAATCATAGACAACTGTGAGGATTGCTGATCGCTCACTCCATGCGGAGTTGGGTGGTTGGAACGGCCGCCTGGTGCCGTTCTGCAAATAGGAACTGGCGAGATGGGCAGCATCATCGCCGCCCGAGGCTGGGAAAACTGTCGTGGATGATCCGGAGGGGAACCCCAAATGTTGTCACATGTCGTGGCTGCCCCTTCCCAGAAACCGAGCGAATGGAATGGCGCCTGCGCCATGCTGTTTGCACCTTGCGAAGTAGATCTCTCCCAGCCATAACCTCCCAACGAACCTCTGCAGACACCGAGCTGCGACACGTAACACCAGGAAGACACTGATTGCACTGACTCAGTGCGTGGTTGTGTGCAATCACTTGCGTCACCCCCCACGTCAACGAACTGACACGACCTCCCCAAATCACTGTGCAATTCATCAGTGAAACTACATCCTTCCATGGCTTCGCAAGTGTCCCTAGATACCGGTAGTGCAAACGAACAACAGTGCTACCAACGCGTGGCGAGGAGAGCGACCACCACAATGTCCAAACAAAGGAAAACAACGACGGCCAACACAACAAAAATGGACACAATGATAAACAATTCCCAGAGGAACATGTGTGAACCAACCCCCCCCCTTCACGGTTGCCGGCGTCGATGATGATCACTGTCGTGCTGGTCGAATCTCGCAGGCATCGACACGGACAAGCCCTACCACCACCCAAAACACCGTCTTGCGCAGCAGTCGACCGTGGTGGGTTTGCGACATACGGTCGTGCATAACCCATCCCCGCAACAGCCACGTCCCGCTCTCTCAACCCTTCCTCCACGATCCGCACTCGACCGCCACGACATTGAACTGCATGCGTTATGTCGTTGCCTTGGGGCAGGAAGCTTCTACCGGCGACACTTATGATGTTCGGACGAACAGCACGCACAACGCTCCCAACTTCCACTGCACCAAGGGATGGCGCGTGGAGGCGCAATGTTCGGTGGATGGAAGAGATGGAATTGTGAAGCGGTACTCCAACACACTGACCACGTCCCCACAGCAGTTGGACATCGAAGACGTACCTACCACGCATGAAGTCACCCGCGAGACCATGTACATGTCGGCTAACCGACGCCCATGGCACAGCGCGGCAACGAAGGTGGCGGACGACGTGCATGGGAAGTGCACGAGCACACTGTCAATCAACGACTACACGCCACGACAAACCCGCAGATGCCACGTGGCGGGTGAAATAGCATATGGTCATCGTAAACACCCAGGGAATGCATCGGTCAACTGGTGATGACAACGCGGAACGCATCCCCATTCGAATTTGAATTCAAATTCGAAATGGCGGGCCCCCACCCGCCCGTTTCCATCCCCTCTCCAAGGGACCAACAGCCCCGGGCCCAGTTACGACGTGCAACGCACGTCCTGCCTGCTCACTGCTCCAGGACCGGGGTAGGCCAAGGGGCCGGACACTTGCGGTGGGCGCGACCTTGGAAAGTACCCCGCACACTCCCTCCCTCACTCTCAACTTTCGGCACCAAATCACGGTGAGATGTCCTCCGGAGCCACTTTTCCACGCTGCGGACGATGTGAAAACGGCCATACATTTTCTTCCACCTCATAAATTGCAGGTTGGGGGGTTCCGGAAACCAGTATTTGGAAGACATCTCGYTGTTGCCAGAAGATCCTCCGCTGCCTGTGGGGTCCCAGAAACGGTTTCGTGGAAACATTCTTCCTTTCCGCATTCTGGTTCATCCAACAACCACCCACCCTAGGGTGGGTCGCCTCATGGTTTCCCGTCTGTGAGTGCTTGCCTATACTTGGCGATCCCATCTATTGGTTGGGCAACCAGGGCCAGCATGCCCTCATTACAACCCCGACAGACAAAGCCTCAATTCCAGTGGTTCTCTCACCACCACCGGATGTGGCCTTGCAAAAGGGCTTTTCGGGGAAAACAACAAGAACAACAACAACAACTGAGTTCCGCCTAGCCAGGGGTAAGTTAGGGGAAGGACTATAGAATGTGTCCATGGGCACTGGCTTGCCTTGCTCAGGTACTCCTGCTGGGTAGACTCTCTGAATTGGGCCTGTAGAAGATTGCATGAGCCTGGCGTCCGAAGTTCCCRTACGGCAAGGTTCGTCCACTTCCACTTCCACTACGGCTGGGGGGTTGGCCCAGCCTTGGTGCTGGTCACTGCTAGTCCAAGTTGCTCTAGATAGTGGTAGGGTGATGGTCCTGAGTGCTGGTCACACTGAGGTAGGATAGAAGGGACAGGGGGTGCGCTGGGAGTAGTAATGTGGGGATGGGTAGGGTAGGTGGCCTATCCTGTCAGGACAACCATTGGCTGCCGCTGCCAGCAATCATTGCGGGTCTGGTCCTTGGCCTCTACAACACCCTGGGCTTTTCAAAACAACAACAACAACAACAACAACAACAACAACAACAACAACAACCAGCTTAGGACCTCGCCACAACAATCGCCAAACACTGACGTTTGGAATGTATCACATTTCGCGAGTGGTGCGGGGAGGCCTTTAGCCCAGTTGCGCTATAAATGTATGTGGTCTGCAAGTAGAGGCAAGCACTGGCACAACTACAACCATGGGGCCACCACAAGTTTTTTTTTTTTTTTTCGTTTTTCCAATTAAAAGGTGCAAACCGGTGGAAGCTTGTTTTGGTAAGTGGAACGATACTTCCTTGGTACTACCGTCTTCCCCCCCGGATGCAACGCACCGTCTCATCATGACTGTATCGGAACCGAAAATAAGTTTGTATACATACAATATAACGGTTTGTAGTGCTCGGGGGACGATGATAGCTGCTAGATTGAGTAGGACGGATCTCGAAAACTCGCATTGTCTCATCATGACTATATCAGAACCGAAAACAAGTTTGTATACATACATTATAAGGGTTTGTAGTGCTTGGGGGAAGATGGGAGCTGTGCTTGGGGGAAGATGGTAGCTGCTATTGACATGCTAGCGGAGCTTGGCTTTGGGAGCCTTCATAGAATGTTTTTTTTTTTTTTTTTTTTTTAAGGCTAATTTCTTAATCCCAACCAAGTCAATTACCTGTCGAATCTGGACAGGACGACCTTTCAGGCCTTTTCAGTGTCATTATAGTATTACGGGGTTCCCCATAGCAGCCACATCCATGCTCAATCCTCCAACGAGGGAACATGGGGTGTGACGATCTCGTTTCTGTAAGGGCGCCATCTTCTGCGCAGTAGTACTGAGGGGGGTTGGAGATAAGGGGAGGATGGAGAAGAAAGGGCCGGGCCCAATTGCACTAATGCCCCCATTCTTTCGGGAACACTAGGACCACGACACTTGGGAGGATGCGCCATAGCTAGCGTGGAAAATAACGGTTGACGCCGCACCTTTTCTTTCTTTTTCTTTTTTTTGTTGATGATTGAACTGGGCGGGGAATTCTTGGCGCAGTTACCGCGCGGGGAGGTTTCTTGCATTTCTTTTTGAATTTTGAACCTACACAGGTTTTCAGAATTTCTTCTTGCAATTAGGTTTTTAATTAGGCTAGGAATTTGGGAGCACTGTAATTTTTGGCTCTAACGACACAGGGTTCCCTATTCGCGCGCGCATTACTGCGTACTGCTGTACGCCCTACTCCCGCCGCGCCTAAATTCTAATCGGAACTGTAATCTCTTCTTGCTCCTTCTTGGCGAGCGCAGCTGTAACTGTAATCCTCTCACTTCTTGATCTCTTCCCTTTCTYTTGCCGCTCGAAGTTCTTTGCGCCTCTTTTCCGTCTATCTGATTGGCCTACGGGTGCATGACTGAATCGTTGCGTGGAGAGTGGCTGCGTCCCCCACGCCGCGACCCCGTAATGCACCTGCAGACACTTCCTCTTCCTTTCTGCTTCTCGCTTCAACATAATCCGGAATTATCTCGCGCACCTACTAACTACTATAAAGCTCACATGTGCGACTAATTCGCTCTCTAATCTATACTTGGGAGTTAGCGCGGTCGAGAGGATCAGCTAGCGAGCGAAGACARAAAGGTGAGAAGSGAGTTGGGCGATCCGACGAGCTGGTGCCGGGTAGGCGGGGTTGACGTATGGCCACGAAGGACTGTGGCATACGGGCGAACTTTGCTTGCCTACGTGGACTAAGCGGGATGACTACTTCGGGTGGTTGATAGGTGCGAGGCGACGGACTGCCCGCATCGAGGGAATTTCGAGAGAGACAGAGAGAGCGAGAAAGAAGGCGGCGTACTGAAGTGATAATTATTTTCTTCGTATCTTCTGTGTAATTTTGATCTTTGGCTTCGGCCATGAGATCATTTTGATTGTATGAAAGATTGTTGATCGTATAAACGAGGGCGCAAAAATAAACGTCTTGCTAATGTATGGAGACGTGTGTGGTTCCGCCCACTTTTTGAAATGAATATGTCCTTGTGATGAACGGATGTGTGATCGAGCTGTCCCCCGCGAACCAACCTGGATCAGGGGCGGATGCATGTAGAACGGGCATGTTGCGATATGTGTATATGCCTGAGTGTGGGTTGGATTTTTCCTACGCATGAATTGCACACAATTGACGAATGATGCCTAGGAACGAAGGTTCACTTTTCTCCTTATGACCGTCGAACGGTCGCCGGACCTATCTGAGTCGATTCGGATTCAGTGGGAATAGATCAGGTGCACGCACGTATACGAGCGATCGCCAGACGACAGTCGTCGCGTATACGCAAGTCTGCTTGACCTGGCCCCTCTTCTCCTTGCACAACCCAATGTATGAGTTAAGACCCCCTTGTCAAACATGGATGTCGGCATTCCATTCTGGATCACGGACTGTGCTAGTCTGAGGAACCCCAAGTACAGGGAATACTGGGAGAACGAGCAACTCTTCTACCGATCTAACTTATGGCTTCCAACGTACCACTGTCAAACGGAGGACGACCGACTGTGTGCTTGGGACTTTCACCAGGCCCTTGGATGGAATTCCCGAACCCCAGATTACCCTGACCCCCAGATTACCCCGACCCCCGTAATTATCAGTACTTTCTTACACCGGGCTTCATCGTCATTGAAACCGATCTCCCTCCGTTCTATCTCCTCCTTCCCTATCATCATCTGACGGTAGTTCCTTGGGACTCGATCGCGCAATGCTGGCCCCGAAGACCGTGTTCTGAGTGCTATCAGTACAACACTTTATTGGGCAGAGGGATTCGTACAACAAACCCGCTCTGAAGCTGAGCACCAAGAACACAGTTTCCGGCTGAGGCTGTCCACGTCGAACTCGGAGATCTGTGAAACCCGTCG